AAAATTAGATCATCTAATTTACCCTTAGTTCAGTGTCAATGTCTCTCTTTGGGTCTCTATCTGTATTTTCCTTGGAGGGGACCTTTGTGTTTTGTCCAGTATGCACTTATTATTCATGGTTTATTTAGTACTTTTCTACTTTCTCATATTTGGTTCTCAGATTGGTGGTCTGACTAACCTCCTGATATTTACATGTTAATTTACTATGTGTAGATATATTAACTGTTTGCCAGCCAGCTAGGTGGTTATCCCCAGAATAAGATTTGGCTATACTAATGCTCATTATTTTTTGTAGTTCTTAATATTATATTATATGTATTTCATGCTCAGCTTTTGATGTATTATTTACGATAGAAATATATCTTTTGATAATTATTTAATGTTGTTCTTTGATGTACCTATGAAGATTAATGCATTTACAATATTTGCCCTATGTTCTTTCCTTCCATTTAGCCTTTGACATGTACAGATTTTATTTCACTTGATGTAGAGTCCGCTCACTATTTGGGCACATTTATTCAGGACTGCACTCAGGTCACTTGGCACGTTGGTTTAGTATCTCTTTCTGTGCTGCATGAGGCTAAATGGTCGGGATTTTAGTTCCTCCTAATGTTATACTTTGGATTTGTAGTTTTGGGACTCTTTTCGGCTTTTTGCCGTTTGCACTCACTTTGTTTCGCTAGGTTGCTTAGCAACCCCTGTCATGTACGTCAGACGCATTGGTGCACGTGGGTTTCTCACTTCCGGGTTATTCAGTCCGGCGGCTGCCTCATCACTCTATTGGTAAGGTTAGTTTACATTTATGTATATATTGTTGTTTATGTATTGTGTCACTGTGATCTTGATAAAGACCCCAGGAGGGTCGAAACGTTGGTCGGTATCTCACAGCAGATGTATTTTTTATGATACATTAAAAGGAATTTTTTTCACTAATTTGAAGACCCAGTGTGCTCCCTGGACTACTATTGTTGGGTATATATAACGCGGGTTTGCACCTGGGCATTTATATTGAATATATAGCTGGAGGAGGAGTGCCTTGCTTCACTGATTCTTTATATATATATATATATATATATATATATATATATATATATATATATATATATGTGTAATTTTACTCTAAGTGTATTTTTATATTAATATGTATATATTAATAAAGAAAATATACTTAGTATGACGTCATATATAAGATATATATATATATATATATATATATATATATATATATATATATATACATACATACATACATATATTATTTTTTTATTTAATACAATTTTTTAATTTAGTTTACAGCACTATGAACGCCTATTGCGGATCACATGGATAACATGGCCCGCGGGGGCCTAATTTGCTAAGGGGGGACTGTCTGGGCTATCAGGCAATCCCTACAGACCGGAAGCAACACTGATCGCTGGGGGGAACAGCGGCGATCGGGTAAGTAATACATACCTAGTACGTCCTAGGTCCTTAAGGAGTTAAGAATTGAATTTTTCTCGTTGAAAATTAAACTTTGTTAGTTTAAAAAAAAAAATGGCTCCTAACTCTTTTAACTGGAGATTTGGCATCAGATATTACTGTAGGTAAATGTTTAGGATCCAGTGATCATCAGTCAGTGTGGTTTAATATAAGTACAGTGACTGAGTCACACCACACAAAAACAAAAGTTTTAGACTTTAAAAAAACAGACTGTTATAAAATTAGAATATGTGTAAAGGAGTCATTATCAAATTGGAGCAATTTAAATGGAGTCCAAGAGAAATGGGATTATTTAAAAGTTTCACTGCTGAAGGCAACAGAAAATTGCATTAGGCTTGTCAGTAAAAGCAAAAAATTCAAGAAACCACTGTGGTAACCCACAGATGTGGCCAAAATAGTAAAAAAACAAAAAGTTAGCATTTAGTAATTATAAAAAACCCAGAGTGAGGAAGACAGAATGATCTATAAGATTAGGCAGAAAGAGTCTAAGCAGGTTATAGAGAAAATAGCACAGTCAGTAAAAAAAGGGGACAAAACATTTTTTAGATACATAAATGAGAAAAGGAAAGTAAAACAAGGATTAGTTAGATTAAAAACAAAAGAAGGAAGGTATGTAGAAGAGGATAAAGGTCTAGCTGACTGCCCAATGAATATTTTTGTTCAGTATTTACAGATGAAAATGAAGGAAAGGGACCTCAGTTAGGAAAAAGGACAAATGAGTCATTTATTACATGTGAGTTTACAGAGGAAGAGGTTTTATTTCAACTATCAAAAGCAAAGACAAATAAGTCAATGGGACCGGATGGAATACACCCAAAGTTATTAAAAGAGCTTAGTGGTATACTAGCAAAACCATTAACAGATTTTTTTGACCAACCATTGTTAACAGGAGTAGTCCCAGAAGATTGGAAGTTAGCGAATGTTGTGCCTATTCACAAGAAAGGTAGTAGGGAGGAGTCGGGCAATTATAGGCCAGTTAGCCTTACTTCAGTAGTGGGGAAAGTAATGGAAACCATGTTAAAAATGATAGGATTGTTGAACATCTAAAAACACATGGATTTCAAGATCAGAGACAACATGGGTTTACTTCAGGGAGATCATGCCAAACTAATCTTATTGATTTTTTTGATTGGGTAACTAAAATAATAGATCAGGGTGGTGCAGTAGACATTGCTACCTAGATTTCAGTAAGGCTTTTGATACTGTTGCACATAGAAGGCTTATCAATACATTGCAATCTTTAAGTTTGGATTCCAATATTGTTGAATGGGTAAGGCAGTGGCTGAGTGACAGGCAACAGAGGGTTGTAGTCAATGGAGTATATTCGAAGCTTGGGCTTGTCACCAGTGGGGTACCTCAGGGATCTGTACTTGGACCCATTCTCTTTAATATTTTTATTAGTGATATTGCAGAAGGACTTGATGGTAAGGTATGTCTTATTGCTGATGATACTAAGATATGTAACAGGGTTGATGTTCCAGGAGGGATAAGCCAAATGGCAAATGATTTAGGTAAACTAGAAAAATGGTCAGAGTTGTGGCAACTAACATTTAATGTGGATAAGTGCAAGAGTACAGAATATTTGTGAGAGTCCTAACCTCAACATCTGAGGAAAGGGATTTAGGGGTGATTATTTCTGATGACTTAAAGGTAGGCAGACAATGTAATAGAACAGCAGGATGCTAGCAGAATGCTTGGTTTTATAGGGAGAGGTATTAGCAGTAGAAAGAGGGAAGTGCTTATGCCATTGTACAGAACACTGGTGAGACCTCACTTGGAGTATTGTACGCAGTACTGGAGACCGTATCTTCAGAAGGATATTGATACCTTAGAGAGAGTTCAGAGAAGGGCTACTAAACTGGTTCATGGATTGCAGGATAAAACTTACCAGGAAAGGTTAAAGGATCTTAACATGTATAGCTTGGAGGAAAGATGAGACAGGGGAGATATGATAGAAACATTTTAATACATAAAGGGAATCAACAC